GTGTTTGGATAGTCGGTGGAATCATGCTCGACATTTCAAACACCATCATCAAACTTCTAGGCTTACGGGAAAGCGGCACCGAATGTCCATCCTACACGTTTAAAACGTCTGCCTCAACCTCTCTAATGTTATCAATAGTTAGCTGGTCTCAAAACATACAAGTTAAAATACATTATAAAAACTTCATAATAATGACATTGTAATCAGAATTCAACTTTCTTTAGGTAACTAAGCCATTTTAAATTTTCTTTAAAAATTTTTATCAGCCTTAATATGTCGTTAAAACATGTAGTTATGTCTTAACCAGTGCATTAAATGTTAAGTGTTTTAATTGTTATTTTCTCACAATGGAATAGTTTAAATTGTTGGCATTATGTTACCTCCTTGTTAAACTTGGTAGCAGTCAAACAATACTGATACCATTATTAATTACAATGGTTATTGCAGTGGAATCATATACTGTAGTAACTTTCAATACCTTTCTTGGTGATTATATTTAATAATATGAACTTTGCTTAATTTATGCTAAATTATACAAGTAATAGAACTTCATGAAGCTATATCCATAATATAAATAACTATAAGAAGACACAGTTATTATGTAATCAATCTTGTTTTATTATAGATTGATTAGTCATAAAGTATGGAGTAGTGTATACTAAAAGCAACTGTTGTTATTATTAATCTTGCCTGTAAAATTCTATAAAGCTAGAGAAACTTTATAATTAGTTAAATTAGTGGTTAATAGTAATTTTCAGTTTCATAATTTGCTCATTAATTAATACACTAAATTTTAAAAATAGTTTTAATTTTCTTATTATAATTAAATTTTTAATACAATGCATTAAAGCCTGAAAGCAAAATTTAAATTAATATAATTGTTAATTTTAAGCAAAGTAATGTTTTATTATCTAGTTTAATTACAATTACTTTTTAATATTTATTTTCTGTTTATAATTTTTAATAATAGACAGGTGTTTATTATCTGTGCCCAATTTGATAAAATTAAAAAATTTCGACAATTTATTACTCAGAATAAAATATAATTAATATGTATGACCCACATTGCAACTAATAATTATAAAATGTATTTGGTTCCGAATTTTATGGAATACATCTAGATATTATTTTATGTTGAATATTTTATAATAATTTTCAGTTTTTATGTTAAATTTTTAAAGTCATAATTATAACTTTTACTTTTAATATACAAATATTAGAATTTCAGAATCTAAGGTAAATAAATATAACTTGGGTGTATTTCATTTACTTTAAAGCGAGAAAAATAACATAGAATGAAACCTCATAATTTAAACAGGTCGCATGCCACCAGTTGTTCTGTTTTCATCCTTTGAGTGAGACAAACACGATTCTGAATCTTCTGACCCCGTTATCTTCGCTCCCATTATCTCAATGTCAATACAGGGAAATAAAATAATCCGAAGTGTAATTAATTTTTGATAATATCGGAAAACTGTTTATTATTTTTGAACGACTTGAAAGTTATTTTTTGATATGTAGTGGCAGTTTAGCTCGAAATGTTTAGTTCACTTGTATGTAAACGTTGCTTTCCGGGCAGGAGACTAGTGTAAACGACGGGCCAAGGTCGGACCTCTTACATAACTCTGTGACGTCACGGAGAGTAAGACATTGGTGGTCATGTTGCGCTTATACTTCGTCTATATTAAGAGAGTCATACCGAATCTGAATTTGTTTTTCTTTAGCGATGTTAAAAGAAATCCGGTTTTAGCTGCTTTACAACGTCCTCGATTTTAGAATTTACGTCACACGGATTGGTTAAAATTTCATATATCATAACTTATGTCCTCCTCCTGTTTTAAAAATTCTTTAACCTTTATGACGATTATCGTTTCAAAATACATTTGTAAAACTTTGTGTTAAAGTTTAGATAGTAAGGATTTAGGTGATATCCCACCATTTTTTTTTTACTTTTATATATTGAAATTATAATATCGTTGCATCGGTTGTTTTGAAGTTGGGCGTATGCCATCAACTAAGTTTATTCGTTTGTTGCTATATATATATGTATGTATAGATCATCTAGTAAAATAATAATAATAATAATAAAGATCACAAGAACGCGTATATTTAGTAGTTCTTTCGATTATTGTTAAATTATTTGATATTTAATATTTGGTATCAGATAATCCACTCCACACGAACTAGCCGCTGACTGGAATTTAGGTTACGTACACGTGTACGTGTTTCCCGCGTTAATCATGACGTCAGCGTTTACATCAACTATATTTTAAACTTATGAAGACTCTTATTAAAATATTTAAAATTTAATAATTATAATTTATAGAATTTAATGAAACTGTCTGTTGACTAGTCCGGCCAGAAGTGTGAAAATTGATTTTCCTCGACTTGCAATCGATACCTACAGGTTCTTTGACCTCCTTGAGCAGTGTTAAGTTTTTTTATTATTATTATTATCGCTGTGGGCTGTGTAAAGTACCTAAGCCTTATACTGTAAGAGTTGTTTTTCCCTGCTGATTATGATCTAAGAATTATGCCTTGAAGAAGCTGGTTTCCATTTAGTTACACATGAAGTCGTTTTTGTTTGTGTACAAATATTTAGTTCTGTATAATACTCAAAGTACGTCAGATGTTTACGAAAAATCGTCAGTATAATAAAACTAAATTGTTTGATTGTTTTATTGCAAATTTTATATTCTCACCATAACGAAAATAGTTCGTTTCATTGCGTTTTTGTATAAATTCGACTTTTTAAAAATTGTAAACAGTTTTCCCCCGCTACATACAATTATTTATAATGATTTTTATTAAAATTCTAAATAAAACTTTATATTGCTGATGGTAAAATTTCTACTTACTTTTTTGTTCTGTGATTTATACAAGGAATATTAACGGATTTTTTTTCTTTAAAATATCTATGCAGCATTCATAAAATCGAATGAAAAATAAATAAAATAATCATTTCTGAAATGTTTGCAAATGATTAAATCGAAACGGATCAAATCAGGCTGCCGAATCACATTTTGTGTAATTCGATAACATAATGGCGAAAGATCGCGGGCGCGCGATTCTGTTCACACAGATACGTTTATATATTAACTTTTAATAGATAATATCAAACAGAAAATCCTCTTATGCTTTTATTGTTGTTGTTATTAGTATTGTGCTACTGTTTTAATCAACGATATTACGGACACAAATTTCCATCAGACAAGGTTCTTGATAAGTCATATTTCCGAAATGTACTGTACAGTAGATATTTCCGCAATAAAATAAATAATATCCAGAACGTTATATATACGATATTTTGATATTTTCTACATCGTGTAATAATTTTTTCGTCTTTTCAAAATGCTTAACACAGCAATCAAAAGATTTTAAAATATTATGAATGTCAATACAGTATTGTTAATTTATTTTACATTTCATTTAAATAACGATAGTAAAATCTTTTGAAGTACTTTTTTTTATTGTGGGATATTTATAATGACGTTAAGAAATCTGTTATTGTCACCACTATAAGAGTGAATATAATTAAGTATTTTAATATAATATATAATGTAAAAAGTGGGCATAATTGGATAAATTTTATCATATAGCCTATATGTGAAGTACTCAATATTTAACTTATTAATTAAATTATATATTTATATATGTCATATTTATAAACTGTTTTAAAATAGTTTTTGATACATCCAGAAAACTTAAGTGTTTATAAATATAAAACTTAGTCATAGTGTAAGCAAACTGTTAAAACCTGTATTTAGAGTTTTAACGCATTAGTGTTCCTTGCACATTTAGTTTTTATCAAATTAATTTTGTATGTTTTTTATAAATTATAATTTCTTTAAAAATAATTGATGATCTTTTGTTCTACAAGGTATAACTAAGGTCCATATTCAAATAAGATATGTGGAAATTATTAAATTTTTTTAGATTGATTTTTACTTTTAAAACATTAAGTTTGAATTTGATATTGGCTTTGGGTAATTTATTAAAATAAACCATTTAGTAATTTATTCTGTAATTAAAATGAATAAATTTGAAAATTTTTGTAAGAATAGATATCAATGTTTATAATAATGACAGTAAGAGAAAATTATGTTAAAATTTAATATATTAATGGTTTTTTTATTCTTGTTTTTAAGAAAATATTTTGTTTGAAAATTATAATTAGTTTAAATATTTTTACCTGTTTTATATTCTTTGAATGGAAACCATGGGTTGTCTGGTTGATCAATCTTCTAGAATATTACATGTTAATTTTAACATATAAAAATAAATTCATATACGATTGGAAAATGAATATATTCACCAGAAATTAATATATTTATTCATATATAATCAATAATTAAATTGTTTTTGATATTTTTTTAAACAAATATTTATTAGTTTTCATGCCACTTATCAAATATGAACTAACTGTAATTTATAATTGTAGTTGCATTTGTCCTTGAATTAAATTTTTCTTTTATCTGGCAATTTTATCACAATACTGAAGTAAATAATAGAATTCACAAGTTATGTAATACATAACTGTTTTGTAATCTTTTTGCAAAGTTTTATAATTTATTTTATTATTATTATATATGTTGTATATGCAATTTAATTTTATTAAAAAATTAAAAATTTGTTGTACAATACAGTAGACCCCCCTATAACGTAGTAGATACGTTTCACTTTATAAGAATTTCACGTTGTAGGAATCCTTAAATACATGAGCCAATCGCAGCCCAACACGTGTAAAGTTTACAGACTACGGTTGTTTGAAAGGTTTTCTTCCATAAAATTAATCAATTCTAGACTNACACGTATTTGTAAAATCTAAGTGACTCGTACAACATGGACATATAAAACGGAATAATCAACAGTGTTATAGGGGGTATAATTTTAAACAACTTACAGTCGAACAACTGTAAGTTGTTTAAAATTAATATTTATTGTTTTAAAGTATTAAAATGTTTGGACTTATTTTTTAATATGAGATTATTTTATTTTAGGTTTTACTACCACAAAGAAACCTCGACACAAAGGATTTTTAGGGACACTTCTATGTTGTTTTGGAACTTCTGTCAGCCAGCAAAGTCCACCAGTTCATCCAGAAGAAAATGGAAGATATTTACCAAAGGTTTGAAACTAATAAAATTAAAAAATAACTTTAAAAATAAAGTGCATAATTTCTTCTACATTAATCTTAAGACATATTCAGTTATTATTACTTTGTATTTTTTTATATTATAATTTCACTCTTTGACATGTGTTTGCTGACTTTTGTATAATACAGTCTTGGTAATCTTGCCATTCACTACTTAGACACATCTAGTAATCTGACATTAGTCGATTGTTGGATATTACTGACGATATTGCCAAATTGTAAACAAGCTTCTGACTAGTACAAACTCCAGTTTCCACTAAATTTGAACATTTTTCCACTAAATGTGACATGATATCAAGCCTGAGCTAGGGTGCAACATTAAATATTGTCAGGTTCATCATTATTGGCTACACAAAAAAGGTACACTATTTTATAACTTAATACTGTATAAATACAAAAAGCATTCCTCCAAATTTTTCCACACGTGCTACAGTTTTTCCCCAAATATAGTGGGAATCCACTAACTAGGCAACATTAATTACTGGCAACAGCAGTTCAGTCAGAGTAGTTTAAGTTAAATGCTTTCAAATTGAGTCTTGATGTTCCTTGATTTTAATCTGTAAAACTCTACAAGTGATATCAATATATTCACATTGATGTCACTTGAGATCTACAGGGCAGACAGAAGTGGAGCCTGCATCAAGATGGATGCCATTCATGTACTAAGTGCATGGAAGTACTATTTAGGCTCTTAAAATATACATCACATACAATACATCACAGCCTTTATTTGAACTTTTTTGAAACTTTTAAAATTAGAACGTGGCTACATTCTATAAATAGAATGGTGTTTTTGTTTTACATTTTCTGAAGAGGGCTGATAAAGTAATGGCTGAAAACATTCGAATATTGAATTTGGGTGTTTCTTTGCTGGAAATTTTGCATTTAGGTGTGATTCTCTACATATACTCATAGGAATGGCCTATTCTGTTATCTTGTAGAGGTATTGAATAAACTCCTGGAAGGGATGCTTTTATCAGGTGGATTCGTGTCATTCTTAAATAAGGAGTAGACAGTAGGGCTTCTTTTATATGCAATATGAATTTTAGACTGTTGTGTTATATCCATATAAATGCCATTAAACAGTTTGTTACAGTTGATTATTTTGAAGAGCTTAGTCCTCTTGGACTTTGAATTCAAGTTTAAACAATATAATTGTATTAAGTAGCAAACAAAGCTGGATTACTAACATAAAGATATAGCCAAATGGTAAATGTGACAAATTCCTTCCATCTGAGAGAGATTTAACAATGCTCTTCCAATTAGGACCCTAAAGATAGTGGACTTATAAGCAGGTGGAATAAAAAGAGGACAAAGGTCTTTTGATGTACGTGACATACATCAAAAGACCTTTGTCACTGTAATAGTACCTTCATTAAAGATCCAGGAAATCTACTTGTCTATTAGTTTGTTGTTCCAAGTTTAATGTTAATCCATGGGCATTATGATTGATGGTATCAAGGAAGGTTTGAATAGGTGAAACACCTGACAGACAATGAGAATGTCATCAATGTATCTGGAGTAAAGAAGAATGTGATCTTGAAAGGCTAGAAATACTTACTGCTCAAAACATCAAAGAACTGGTTCACAAAGTGTACCAGAAATGGGACTACCCGTAGGTATGCCCTTTGATTGTAGGTAAGTGACACCTTAAAAACAGAAAAATAATGAGTGACAAATGACATGTGCCAGTTCCAAAATAGAAGAATGGTATTTGTGTGACTGTTCAATGTTGGAAAGAAAAAAATTACGTAATTTGCAAAAACAGTATTCCCATCTCATGGATGGATGGAAACACTGTTTTTGATTGATGATCACACATCACAAAGTACACTTGTGATGACAAATGAAAATTTGTAATTTTATAATTAAAGAATCAAGCCCAGTAACAACAAATGGAGACTGCTGGAGGTGTTGAGTAATGAAACTATTAAGGATTTAGCTCTACTTTGTTATTTTTGTAACTTTATTGTGATAAATTCTTTCTTTCTTAACTAGGAAAAATAGCTGAAAGTTGAGCTGCTGTGCAATGGGAGTCTCTTGCACCACACACCTAGCAATTGTTGAAATCTAATTTGAATAACAACGTCATCGATGGTTTGTGTCATGATGTCTAATGATGCCAGGTAAGCTTGGCACCACTAACTTCTGAATCGGAAATTCCATTGTTGATTGGTCAGGCCATCAACTTTCTTTAACACAGGAAGTATATAGAGTTGACCATTTGTCTCTCTAAATCTGTGGCCAGCTTTTTTGTCTTCTTTCTGCATCACATTTACTCACATGTGGAAATTACCGTACAATTGAAACATGTGCCATCTGCCAACTGTAAATATAAACAAGTTACTACAGTAGGTAGGCCATATGCCAGTAGTCAAAAATGGTGCCAACGGGGATTGCCTTTGTTATATCAATTAAACTTTCTAAGTTTGCTTAATGTAGTCCTCCATTCTGAAAATTTCACACTTTCAGAATGGGGACCACATTGATGATGAACAGTATGTTCAGTGACCAACTATAAGTGGTCCTCTATGTAATACTGTCTTTTAAGACTGCCAAATTTACAACTTGTCCTTGATAAACCACACTTTTCTTGTACTTCCACAACCAAGAATCACAAATGGTTAGATCTGGAGAATGAGGTAGCCAGGCAGTAACAAATGCATAACTAATTACTCAATACAATATTAGTGAAGTGTTGCAGAAATTAATACAATATCCCTCGTTATATAGCGCTTATCAGGAGACAAAGAAAAACGCGATGTAACCGAGTATTAAAAATTCTGGACTTTCACTAAACAGATTATACAATCTGTGGAATCTCGATCCTCTATTCTTTCATTGGCAAGTGTTTCTGATATTGATATAAAATAAGCTTAGTTTTTCAATACTGAATTTTATTTGTGGTTATGTCGTATTAATTGACGTTTATGTAAACATTGATACCATGAATGCCCATTTAGCATTATTGTTTCTTTAACAATGACATTTAAAGAAAAATACTTTTGATATAAAAACAAAATATCAGTTGCGATTTTTATTATATAGTACTATATTTCATAATAAGTCGCTTATTAAAAATTTGTGTAATGTATATTTTTCAACAAAAATTATAAATACAGTAATTGAAAATTTAAAAAATAAATATTGAACATAGAACATCAAACTTGATAATCTCACATTTTGCATCAAAGTCAATAATCTAAAGTTAGTTTGGTATAGACTAANTTTATTAAAAATTAATCATTTTGAAATTCTTGTTAGTATTTGTTACTTATAAAAAATTCATTCAGTTTGACTTTCCAGTTTTGACACTGAATCTGTTTTAGTAGTAATGTCATTACATTTTTTTATGTTTCAAAATCATTTTGATGTTTCTAAGAAACATTCATGTAATACAAAAATAAATATAAACATCATCCAAAACCCAATTTATTACTGTAAAGCCACACTAACTGCTGTATAAATGATATTATAGAGCAGTTGATTTGGCTTTATAATACAAAAATAGTGTTAAGTTTTCATTGTAAAAATAATTATGCTTTTACTACTAAAGTTTCTAATAAACAACCTTGAATAATGTTAGTGAATCTTAAAAGAAAATTTTAAGGCTTAACTGATTAGAAGTAGATATTAAATAAACTCTCGTATTTTAGTTAGCAAACATCCATGATCAAGTTAAACAGGCAAAATTTTACTAGTAAATTAATTAACCAAATACAAATTTGTTAAAAATTTTGTAAATTTCTCTCATTCCTTCATTTTTGACAACTTTAATTACACATCTACATTTCCTGTAAGTTAGGTTTCACAATGTTGTGAATTTTTGATGTTCATAGGAAATCATTGTCAAATTCAAGTGATTCATTATGTTTAGTTTACCATAATTATAAATTGATTAAAGAAGTTTAAAAGAATAGATAGATAAATTAAATAGAATTGGAGGAAATTATAGGAAGAAGTTAAGTTATTTACAATATTTGTTATATGATTAATTGATGGTTGTGCATCATTCCTGAAATGCAAGAAGATTGCCTGAGTATATTTGTACCTTACAATGATAATTAAAGTTATCCCTATTAAATGCTGTCTAGAGAGATTTAGCAGTCCCATGCAACCAAATCTAATATTGTAAACATTTAGGACATGCCAAAAGACATTACCATGAAAACAATTACAGTAGAGTCCCAGAAACTTGACCCTTCATAACTTGATATTCTGTAAAACTTGTCATATTGTTCAAAAACAAAGTACAGTCAAACCACAGTTTTCAAACGTAATTTGTTCCTAAAAGTTGTTCAAAAACCAATTTGTTCTCAAACCAAAACAAAATTTTCCATAAGAAACAATATCAATGTAAAATGGATTAATCTGTTCCCGACCCAAAAAAGCCTTGTTTTACCTTTTTTAGCTGTATTTCATGCATAAAAATGCAATATAGTATTATCTATATCTATTATATATATATATATAATTTGAGTNTATAACTTTTACTTTTAATATACAAATATTAGAATTTCAGAATCTAAGGTAAATAAATATAACTTGGGTGTATTTCATTTACTTTAAAGCGAGAAAAATAACATAGAATGAAACCTCATAATTTAAACAGGTCGCATGCCACCAGTTGTTCTGTTTTCATCCTTTGAGTGAGACAAACACGATTCTGAATCTTCTGACCCCGTTATCTTCGCTCCCATTATCTCAATGTCAATACAGGGAAATAAAATAATCCGAAGTGTAATTAATTTTTGATAATATCGGAAAACTGTTTATTATTTTTGAACGACTTGAAAGTTATTTTTTGATATGTAGTGGCAGTTTAGCTCGAAATGTTTAGTTCACTTGTATGTAAACGTTGCTTTCCGGGCAGGAGACTAGTGTAAACGACGGGCCAAGGTCGGACCTCTTACATAACTCTGTGACGTCACGGAGAGTAAGACATTGGTGGTCATGTTGCGCTTATACTTCGTCTATATTAAGAGAGTCATACCGAATCTGAATTTGTTTTTCTTTAGCGATGTTAAAAGAAATCCGGTTTTAGCTGCTTTACAACGTCCTCGATTTTAGAATTTACGTCACACGGATTGGTTAAAATTTCATATATCATAACTTATGTCCTCCTCCTGTTTTAAAAATTCTTTAACCTTTATGACGATTATCGTTTCAAAATACATTTGTAAAACTTTGTGTTAAAGTTTAGATAGTAAGGATTTAGGTGATATCCCACCATTTTTTTTTTACTTTTATATATTGAAATTATAATATCGTTGCATCGGTTGTTTTGAAGTTGGGCGTATGCCATCAACTAAGTTTATTCGTTTGTTGCTATATATATATGTATGTATAGATCATCTAGTAAAATAATAATAATAATAATAAAGATCACAAGAACGCGTATATTTAGTAGTTCTTTCGATTATTGTTAAATTATTTGATATTTAATATTTGGTATCAGATAATCCACTCCACACGAACTAGCCGCTGACTGGAATTTAGGTTACGTACACGTGTACGTGTTTCCCGCGTTAATCATGACGTCAGCGTTTACATCAACTATATTTTAAACTTATGAAGACTCTTATTAAAATATTTAAAATTTAATAATTATAATTTATAGAATTTAATGAAACTGTCTGTTGACTAGTCCGGCCAGAAGTGTGAAAATTGATTTTCCTCGACTTGCAATCGATACCTACAGGTTCTTTGACCTCCTTGAGCAGTGTTAAGTTTTTTTATTATTATTATTATCGCTGTGGGCTGTGTAAAGTACCTAAGCCTTATACTGTAAGAGTTGTTTTTCCCTGCTGATTATGATCTAAGAATTATGCCTTGAAGAAGCTGGTTTCCATTTAGTTACACATGAAGTCGTTTTTGTTTGTGTACAAATATTTAGTTCTGTATAATACTCAAAGTACGTCAGATGTTTACGAAAAATCGTCAGTATAATAAAACTAAATTGTTTGATTGTTTTATTGCAAATTTTATATTCTCACCATAACGAAAATAGTTCGTTTCATTGCGTTTTTGTATAAATTCGACTTTTTAAAAATTGTAAACAGTTTTCCCCCGCTACATACAATTATTTATAATGATTTTTATTAAAATTCTAAATAAAACTTTATATTGCTGATGGTAAAATTTCTACTTACTTTTTTGTTCTGTGATTTATACAAGGAATATTAACGGATTTTTTTTCTTTAAAATATCTATGCAGCATTCATAAAATCGAATGAAAAATAAATAAAATAATCATTTCTGAAATGTTTGCAAATGATTAAATCGAAACGGATCAAATCAGGCTGCCGAATCACATTTTGTGTAATTCGATAACATAATGGCGAAAGATCGCGGGCGCGCGATTCTGTTCACACAGATACGTTTATATATTAACTTTTAATAGATAATATCAAACAGAAAATCCTCTTATGCTTTTATTGTTGTTGTTATTAGTATTGTGCTACTGTTTTAATCAACGATATTACGGACACAAATTTCCATCAGACAAGGTTCTTGATAAGTCATATTTCCGAAATGTACTGTACAGTAGATATTTCCGCAATAAAATAAATAATATCCAGAACGTTATATATACGATATTTTGATATTTTCTACATCGTGTAATAATTTTTTCGTCTTTTCAAAATGCTTAACACAGCAATCAAAAGATTTTAAAATATTATGAATGTCAATACAGTATTGTTAATTTATTTTACATTTCATTTAAATAACGATAGTAAAATCTTTTGAAGTACTTTTTTTTATTGTGGGATATTTATAATGACGTTAAGAAATCTGTTATTGTCACCACTATAAGAGTGAATATAATTAAGTATTTTAATATAATATATAATGTAAAAAGTGGGCANGAAATTATAAACTTGTAAACTGAAACTCACATTTGTTTTACAATAGATGTGTTCAAACACAAATCCCTGACTGGTTTGAATTTAAAACCATATAAGGCATGCGCAATGTCATTTTACAGCCAAGAACTGAACAATGCATATGCCAGTTTTAAACCAGTAAGGGACTTGTGTTGGAACAAACCTAATATTTGTAAAATACTCTCAAATGTTTTTATAAATTTATTTTTTGTCATAATTTAACAATTTTTCTATGAAAACCAGACAAATTAATACTTAATCTTGACCATGAATTTAAAACTGGCCTGGTGGCAACACTACAGACAGTTATTATATTTAGATTACATTTGACTAATTACTAATTTATTTGGTTTATAGGGTGGGACAGAGAAATGGGAAATTATAAAAGCTCAATAACTCAGTAAAATTATTTATTTAAGAAATTTCAAATGTATTAGCTTAAAGGTAATAAAAAGCATTTTATTTTTTGAAATTGTCATCATTGAGGCGACCTCTGTCTGAACAGAATTACTCTATTTTGAGCATATTTCAGCCATTACTCACTGCAATGTTTAGAAAGGGATTCTGGCTATTTCTTCATTAATTTTGAGTTTAAACTCAGCAATATTGTGTGGGCAGTTAATATACACCTTGCTTTTTGAATAGTCCACCATAACAAAAAAAAATCAGTGACAAATCAGGTGACCTTGCAGGCCAAGAAATATCATCATTCTTGGAGATGGCATGACCAAGGAACAATTGTCTTACAACAGTCATGGATATTCTGGCTGTGTGAGCAGTTACCCCATCTTGTTGGAACCATGTCTGATTATTAACAAGATGAAATCTGGTTAAGTCTTATGTCAAAAACATGATGTAACAGTTGTTGCATTTTTGTTGCCATCTTCAAAAAAGTAAGGCCCAGAAATCCCAACAGATGATATCATGCACCATACTGTAATCTTGGCACTGTAGAAAAGCGTCTGATGCAGTTCATGTGGATTTTCTGGCAAACAGTACTGCAAAATTTGGCTTATTTACAAAACCCAACAAATTGTAATGTGTTTCATCACTTACAAAGAGATTTGGAGGAGAATGAAGATCTTATTCACAAAGATTCAGGAATTGACCACAAAAATTTGTTTGGCTAACATGATCACTATCATTCAATACAAGCACTATCTGTATTTTGAATGGGTGAAAATGTAAGTTTATGCATTGTACACTCTTGTTTGAAATGTTTAACAAAATTGCAAGGTGTTATGCAGAGAGTTGTGGACTATGTTTGATGGTGGTCCTTACATTCATTATATTATCTGGGGTGTACAGTTCTTGCTGTACCTGTAGGCTTTTTTAGTGCAGAACTAATTTCCTCAAAGTTCTTAATCCATATTATAATGGCATGTCTGGACAGCACTGGATTATTTGTTGGACATTGAACTGGCAGCAAAAGAACTGTTGAGTGGCCTTGACACAATCATTATTTTTATAATATGCCTTAATGGCAAATGCATGTTGAACACCTATCCACTAGTTCATGATTACTACATCCTATAATACAATCTATGAAAAAACACAAATTAGAACAAAAGTTTTTTTAGAACAGATGGAATATGTATTTTTTGGTTGAGGCAGTGAATGTCACTCTGACCATTTACATTTCAAAGGATTTTTTAGGTAACTTCAAAATGATCAGAAATGCTGTTTTTTGTGAATAAAAAAACATTAACAGAATGAAAAATCCAGTAAGAAAGCAGAATTTAATAGTAAACAAGCATTTCCAATTGTTTTGAGCAACCATCTTCAGGTTAAAAAAGCATTAAGAAACAGAACAAAAAAAAAATGGAATGTTAAATTTAAAATATTAAAGAACAATATCTGATTGGGAATTGGCAATTATGCAATATCAGTAAAATACAAAATAATATATTTCAAATAATGTCCTCCATGATGTTGACAAGGTGTTATCTTTGTAATTGACAACTGTGCTATTCCTGTTTGCTTTATAAATTTCTAAAATTTTAAGGTGTTTTGAGTTGGGATGGATCATGCCTATTATGAATGAGTTCTGTTTTGTCTTACACATCTTCATCCAAGGCATAGATAGCGAATGACATTGTTAATTAATTGAAGTGATGTGCTCCTGTAAATGCTGTTTTAATGGACATATATTAATAGTTGCCCTAATATATTGTTGTTGATAGCCTCTCCTATATGACATCTGACATTATGTTAATTTTATAAACTTGTTTTATTTATTGTTTTTCAACTAAAGATTTCTGAATATGTAAACATTAGAAATTGGTATCTCCACAATATTAATTTTATTATTATTGGATAAAGTCAAATTAATATTTGACTTACCCCAAGTGAAAATTGTCAAGTGATTACATCTTATCATATTTTCAAGAAGATTAAGATAAAAACATCATCATTTATAAATATATATTACCTGCGGGATTTAATCCTTTAACGTTTTGTTTAGATGTGAACTTATTGTCTTAAATTGAATTAGCTTTAACTAGAAATAATGTTGTTTAAATAAATTTTTATATTTTCTGTCTCGTTAGTTTGAATTTTTTTTAGTAGAAACTAATCATGTATGTTTATGTTCAATTTTCTTATTATTAACTATCAGAAATTTTGATATTTTAATGAGATGAACATCCATACTAAGATTATGTAGCTTACAAAATATTAGTTATTTTCAGTTTTTATTCTGTTTTATTGTTATATTTAAGTTTATGCCATTTATAACAATTTTTGTGTATTTTAGGGTCAAGGAAAATATTTACTGCCTCAAGTACGACATCAAGATATACATAAGATGTGTCTTGTCATTGATCTGGATGAAACACTTGTTCATAGTTCATTTAAGGTAATATTATAAGTTATTTTATAAAGTTGTTTATGTACAGTGGAAGTTAATGAACACCCTAGTTAATAGAGAGGTTGAGGCGCACGTTTTAAACGTGTAAACGTGTACGTGTGACGTTCGGCGCCGCTTTCCCGTAAGCCTAAAAGTTTGACAATGGTGTTTGGATAGTCGGTGGAATCACGCTCGACATTCCAAACATCATCGTCAAACTTTTAGGCTTACGGGAAAGCAGCGCCGAACGTCACACGTACACGTTTAAAACGTGCGCCTCAACCTCTCTAATGACCAAATCGGTTAACAAACTTTTATTTTGCAAAAGTTTCGTCTCGGATAATGAACGTAACGGTTTTTTTGTATCAAATTTTAGTTGCTGCTAGGCATGTGCAAGGTAAGCATTGCTTTTCCTAGTGTTTGTGCTAAACTTCTTTTTTCAGTTTTGTGATTTATATATTTAATCAATATGTCACCCAAGAAAGAAAAGTGATAGTGGCAATAGAAAATGTTTTAGTGTAGCATTAAAGAAAGAAATTATTGCGAAACACAAGAATGGCATTCGAGTTTCTGACATCGGTAAAGAATATAATGTGGCAAAATCGACTATCTCTACAATTATTAAAAACAAAGAAGCATTTAAGGCTGCTGAAGTGGCTAAAGGAGTGAATGTGATATCAAAACAAAGATCTAAAGTTTTAGATAAAGTTGAAAACTGTTGCTGATATGGATCAATGAAAAGCAACATGCTAGAGACTGTTAGTGAAGCTATAATTTGTGAAAAGGCTAAAAATTTACACAGTGACTTGTTGACCCAAACACCCAGTACAAGTGCAGATGGGCAAGACTTAAAGTGAACAGAGGGTGGTTTGATAGGTTTCGTCGATGAACTGGCCTCAAGTTCAGATGGAAAAGCAGCAAAAGCATTTGTGGACGAATTTGTAGAGTTTGTAAAAACTGAAGGATACGTCTCAAATCAAGTGTTTTGCGACAAAACTGGTCATTTTTCAAAAAAAAAAAAAAAAGCCTAGATGAACATACATAACACAAGAAGAGAAAGCACTACCAGGACAAGCCCACGAAGGACAGGCTCACCTTTTTATTTTGCACTAATGCAAGTGGTGACCTCAAAATCAAGTCACTTTTAGTCTTGCCGAAATCCCTACGCCTTTAAGAGCAATAATGTTATGAAGTCCAAACTGCCTGTCCAATGGAAGGCAAATAGCAAGGCATGGGTAACTTGAATTTTATTTATGGATTTGCTCACAGAAGTATTTGCTTCAGCTGTCAAAAATTATCTTCAGTAAATGGATCTTCCTCTTAGATGTCTTCTCTCAATGAATAATGCCCCAGCACATCCACCAAGTTTGGAGGAAGATCTGAATAGTGAACATGACTTCATCAAGGTCAAATTCCTTCTATCCAACACTACTCCATTACTGCACCCAAATGGATCAGCAAGTAATTTCCAGTTTTAAAAAGCTGTATACCAAGGCACTGTTTACCAGGTGTTTTCAGGTTACCAATGATACTAATTTAACCCTTAGAGCTTTTTGGGTGGTGCATTTTAACATCCTGCATTGTATGAACCTTATCTTATTGACAAAACCAGAGTGAGGTCTCTCACTGCATTTTGCAATCGGCCTGGAGGAAACTTTGGCCAACTTGTGTCCCAGAGTGAAACTTTGAGGAATTTGAAGCAAAGCGCTCTCCTGATGTAGTGCATGAAATCGCGTCCATTGGCAAGAGTTTGGGATTAGAGATAGATGATGCAGACATGGATGAGTTGATAAAGGACCATCAGAATGAACTAATCACAGAAAAAGCTGGTTGGCTTGCAGGAAGAACAGGTGAAAGTCTTACAAGAAGAGCATTCATCAGAGGAAGAGAAGGTTAAGGAAGAAATCACCGGGGCTGAAATCAAGGAATTCTGAATATGGTTTGAAAATCAAGTTAGAACAAGAAAGTGATACTTTTGTGCAACTTTGAAATTCAAATGGGAATTCCCATTTTTCATAGCAGATTCGGATTCTACATCAAAAATTTTGTAAGATTTATCGGAGACATTTTATTTAAAATTGTGGTGGTTGGTGCTGTAATTGGTGAAAATTAGTTAAGTCTGTTTTTTTTAAGGGAAACCCCACATTTTATTGCATAATGATTCTAGACTGGAAAAAGTAACTTTGATGGTTAAACATGGTTTTTTAATCATTATATATGGGTGCTGCAATCATCAAAAGTTATGTGAGCTTAATTTTTTTCAAAGGGAACCCTATGTATCACAGCATAATGATTCTACGTTCAAAGAAAGAGTCTACTTGCCTCCCACCTTTGGAGTGGTACTTTTAAATAAATCAGTTATTTAATTGAATGCTCAAAATTATGATCTCAAACTTCAATGCATTTATTGATTCATTCAGTCACGTTTTTGCAGGTTGTTGGCACTTCTCAATAAACTTTGTTTTTCAGAAAACCCCACACTGAAATCTGGTGATGTAAAGTCTGGTGATCTGGCAGGCCAATGTACCAGACCATCTCTTCTGATCCAGTGACCATTGTAATTGCAATTTAATACCTCCCATGCTATTATTATGTAATGTGCCGGACAATCATTGTACTGAAACCACAAGTTCTGTTGCTGTTCAAGGCTTAGGTTGTCAAGCAGTATTAGTAGTTTTTCTTCCAAAAAATTTTTATATTTTTGCCTCTAAAGTACCTTCAATAAAATAGGTACCAGTCAATTTGTTGCCTATTATTCCATACCAAATGTTAACTGACCAAGGATGCTGATGTTCATGCAACCAGTGTGGCATGAAGTAGGCATATGGACGAATACAAAGAAATCCACATTTATTTCATCAAATACTGTTCTTCGAAAATTAATTACATCAGTTATTTGGTTGAGTATCAATATATCGGGCTTCAAGAAGTTTCTTATATAAAGTCTCTCATCAAATGAATATTTTCAATATAGTCTACTGCAATGTGAATAGCCAGAGTTTGGACTAAAGGAAATTTTACCGGAAGATTCTGAAATTTGTTCATTGTGGCTGAAAAATCTTATTTGTATGTTGCATTCACTAGAGATTGTTAGTTGTTTGATATATGGAGAAGTTTGTTGTAGGAAGAATTCAGAATTAGGAAATTTTCTGTATATTGTGAGCATTTATATTTTATGTAATGCTTTTTTTGTTGTTGTTGTTTGACTATTACTATGTATGTAAGTACTATGTATTACTATGTACTGTACATAGTAATGCATAATACTTATGTTTATTTTTTAATCTCAAAAAATACTAAACCTTATTATTGAATATGATACTGATATTAAATAAGAGGTAACCTTCTTCTAACATTGCTTATCAATTTTTGAGGATACCACGTCTTTGTCACCAGAATTTTCTAAACAAGTGAATAAATAATATGAAGACTATAAAAATTAAGATAAGAGCTCATAATTAACATGTAAGAAAAATACTTTATATGGGAATTATTATATAAACAAAGTTAATTGTTTATATAATAATTATTACTTTTTATATCTTGTTAATCATGAGAATTTTTATTTGTTCTATGAATTAAATGTTCTGAAAGTAGCTTTCTAAAACTCATTTCTCAATAACATTTAATCATATTTTATTTTCAAATAATAATCAAAACAAATTGTTAATTAATTGATAAAGTGTTTAACTTCTAGAAGGAGGAGTTCTCTTATTTTATGTAATGATAGATAGGAGTTGAAAAACAACATAATCATGATATTGATATTTTTATGAACAAAATATTAAATTTTATTTAAAATATTTATGANGCAGGAAGAACAGGTGAAAGTCTTACAAGAAGAGCATTCATCAGAGGAAGAGAAGGTTAAGGAAGAAATCACCGGGGCTGAAATCAAGGAATTCTGAATATGGTTTGAAAATCAAGTTAGAACAAGAAAGTGATACTTTTGTGCAACTTTGAAATTCAAATGGAAATTCCCATTTTTCATAGCAGATTCGGATTCTACATCAAAAATTTTGTAAGATTTATCGGAGACATTTTATTTAAAATTGTGGTGGTTGGTGCTGTAATTGGTGAAAATTAGTTAAGTCTGTTTTTTTTAAGGGAAACCCCACATTTTATTGCATAATGATTCTAGACTGGAAAAAGTAACTTTGATGGTTAAACATGGTTTTTTAATCATTATATATGGGTGCTGCAATCATCAAAAGTTATGTGAGCTTAATTTTTTTCAAAGGGAACCCTATGTATCACAGCATAATGATTCTACGTTCAAAGAAAGAGTCTACTTGCCTCCCACCTTTGGAGTGGTACTTTTAAATAAATCAGTTATTTAATTGAATGCTCAAAATTATGATCTCAAACTTCAATGCATTTATTGATTCATTCAGTCACGTTTTTGCAGGTTGTTGGCACTTCTCAATAAACTTTGTTTTTCAGAAAACCCCACACTGAAATCTGGTGATGTAAAGTCTGGTGATCTGGCAGGCCAATGTACCAGACCATCTCTTCTGATCCAGTGACCATTGTAATTGCAATTTAATACCTCCCATGCTATTATTATGTAATGTGCCGGACAATCATTGTACTGAAACCACAAGTTCTGTTGCTGTTCAAGGCTTAGGTTGTCAAGCAGTATTAGTAGTTTTTCTTCCAAAAAATTTTTATATTTTTGCCTCTAAAGTACCTTCAATAAAATAGGTACCAGTCAATTTGTTGCCTATTATTCCATACCAAATGTTAACTGACCAAGGATGCTGATGTTCATGCAACCAGTGTGGCATGAAGTAGGCATATGGACGAATACAAAGAAATCCACATTTATTTCATCAAATACTGTTCTTCGAAAATTAATTACATCAGTTATTTGGTTGAGTATCAATATATCGGGCTTCAAGAAGTTTCTTATATAAAGTCTCTCATCAAATGAATATTTTCAATATAGTCTACTGCAATGTGAATAGCCAGAGTTTGGACTAAAGGAAATTTTACCGGAAGATTCTGAAATTTGTTCATTGTGGCTGAAAAATCTTATTTGTATGTTGCATTCACTAGAGATTGTTAGTTGTTTGATATATGGAGAAGTTTGTTGTAGGAAGAATTCAGAATTAGGAAATTTTCTGTATATTGTGAGCATTTATATTTTATGTAATGCTTTTTTTGTTGTTGTTGTTTGACTATTACTATGTATGTAAGTACTATGTATTACTATGTACTGTACATAGTAATGCATAATACTTATGTTTATTTTTTAATCTCAAAAAATACTAAACCTTATTATTGAATATGATACTGATATTAAATAAGAGGTAACCTTCTTCTAACATTGCTTATCAATTTTTGAGGATACCACGTCTTTGTCACCAGAATTTTCTAAACAAGTGAATAAATAATATGAAGACTATAAAAATTAAGATAAGAGCTCATAATTAACATGTAAGAAAAATACTTTATATGGGAATTATTATATAAACAAAGTTAATTGTTTATATAATAATTATTACTTTTTATATCTTGTTAATCATGAGAATTTTTATTTGTTCTATGAATTAAATGTTCTGAAAGTAGCTTTCTAAAACTCATTTCTCAATAACATTTAATCATATTTTATTTTCAAATAATAATCAAAACAAATTGTTAATTAATTGATAAAGTGTTTAACTTCTAGAAGGAGGAGTTCTCTTATTTTATGTAATGATAGATAGGAGTTGAAAAACAACATAATCATGATATTGATATTTTTATGAACAAAATATTAAATTTTATTTAAAATATTTATGAAATATCTGAATAAATCTAAAATAAAACAAACATTTAGTTAAAATGCTTTAAAAGTTTTTATATAATTTAATTTATTGTACAAAAATACTTAATGCTAAAATTAAAATATAATATAATGTTAAACTTGTTTTTTTTTTTTTCTAGCCCATTAGCAATGCAGATTTTGTGATTCCTGTTGAAATAGATGGAACTGTACACCAGGTAAATAATTTATTAAAATTAACATATTTTCATATTGAATTAGCTCTTAAATGCTACTTTTACTTTTGTGAAGAGTTATAAAAATATTTCAAACTTAAAATTAGTGATTTCAATAAAAAGTTTTAATATATGTTAAAACTCTCATCTTAAACACAACATATACACAATAACTTTAAAATTTTAAATACATTGTTATATCATAATAGTGTGTGCATGCACATGCATATATATAATAAGTTCGTGAACATCATTATAAAGATTTGCTCATATTTATAGCATCATGTTTCTGCTATAAATTTATTTTAAAATAAACTTGTAACATAAATATTAGATTTATTCAATAGACATGAATGTTATTCCCTTAAATAAAATGACACCTGAGTATTTGCTCATTATATAAACTTTAAAAAATTTTATATATGTTTGAGTACATGTTTATACATTTTACTCAAAACAATTCTTTAATGCCTTTATTGCAGTTAATTTATTGTACTGATAGTATTCATATTAAAATATTTATTAGAAAAATTTAAATTAAGTAATTTTAAACTTTAAGAATATATATTTACAGGCAATCTACAAATTATCTTTATAACTTTCATTGAACATAAAAAGTATTTTGTAAGTGGTGGTATTTTACTGAAAATCTCTTAAACAAGGAATTCAGTTTTATTTGATACTTGTGGTAAATGGCATGTGTGCTGTTGTGTGCTGCCATCTGACAGATTTTCTAGTTTACTGTTAGTTACCATGACGAATCCTCAAGAGAAAGTAGAGTAGAGTGTCAATTATCCGAATGCCGATCAACCGAAGCGTCGGTTACGCAAAAGTGTTCCAGTCGGACTGTGTCGTACTGAATCAAACATTTTTTATACTAGATTAACTTCTAAAGTATAATTTATTTTGTTTTTATATTTTTCAATATATTTACTTTGCTTGTACAAAATAAAGAAATAATTTTTAACAATACAATAGCCATGATTATTATTATAAAAATTTTCATTAGGTTTAACATCAAAAATTCAATGCGAAGTGGAGAAAAATTTAAACATGGGATATGTTAATATACTATTATTGGGATATACTAATATACTATATTAATAATGTATTTTTTCGTACATAATCGGTTATCTGAAAAGTCGATTTTTCAAACAACCCCAGTCCCCAATTGATTCAGACAATTGATGCTCTACTGTANTATTAATAATGTATTTTTTCGTACATAATCGGTTATCTGAAAAGTCGATTTTTCAAACAACCCCAGTCCCCAATTGATTCAGACAATTGATGCTCTACTGTACTTTGCATGGAATGGTTTATTTTATTGCATTCTGATATTCCAGTTCAGTATAACTTTCATACTTGATATGAAAGATCACTTGCATTTAATCTAAGTTACAGTGTGAAACAGCTCATCCACCATGCTGGAAACTGGATATTGCTGACTGGCCTGCATTTTTCTATATGGCCAACATCCCTGAGGGAATGGTCAATATTACTGATATCAGTGATGCAGTCACTTCCAGTATTATCCAGATAGCTGAAAAAACAATGGAAAAAACATCAACCAGATATCCAAAATATTCAAAGCCATGGTGTAACCAGGATTGCAAGCAGCACACAAAAAGAAAAGAAAGCATGAGAGATTTTTGTAAAATACCCCACTACTAGCAATTTAATTGCTTTTCAAAAAGCAAAGGCAGAAGAACAAGAAGGCAAAGCCTAAATGATTCTTGGAGGATGTATGTATCTAGTATAACATCTTCCATTAGATTAAAAGCAGTCTGGGATAAAATCCATAAAATTGATGGAAAATATGCCTCTAGTACTTTGTCCATGCTGAAAGATAATGACACAATAATTAGTGACAAACAAGGTATTGCTGATTTGTTAGGTAAAACCTTCTCTGCAACATCCAGCAATATAATGTATTCAAGAAATTTTCAAGCTTATAAAGCCCAAATGGAAAACAATGTTTAAATTTCCATTCCTCGTCTAGTGAAGAATACAATTTGCCATTCACCATGATAGAACTAGATACAGCTCTGTCACTTGGGGAATACTGCTGTAGGCTTGGATAAAATCCACTACAGCATGATTACTGAAGGAAATATTTGACAGATTTTTAATCTTTTGAGTCTGTTTAACAGAATATGGGCAGAGTATGCTTTTCCTGACTGTTGGCGGCTATTGATTATTATTTCCATTCCCAAGCCTGGCAAAGACTGTAAGAATCCTGCTAATTACAGACCAAACTTTCTGATTAGTTTCCTCTGTAAACTTTTTGAGAGAGTGATCAACAGACTTCTGATGTTTCTCTTAGAGAAAAACAATTATTTTTCACCACATCAGAGTGAATTTCATAGGAACAGAAGTACCTTAGACAATTTAGTAAATCTTGAAACATTATATGCAGTGTGTTTGATGACAGCGCTTAGTCTCTGCATTCTTCAATATAGAGGCCTATGATCATTGCTGGCGGTACAGTGATCTGCATCAGTTTGGATTACAGGGTAATTTGCCAATTTTTATAAAAAACTTCCTACAGAATCAAAGATTCCAAGTTAGGATGGACACTACTTTATCTAGGTCTTTCACACAAAAGAATGTGTTCTTCAAGGTTCTATTTTGAGTGTGACCCTGCTCCTAATTAAAATTAACAGCGTAGCTAACTGTCTCCTGCCCAGTGTGACAAACACACTGTATGTGGATGACTCAGATCTCCTGTCAGTCTAGTAACATGAGTTTTATTGAGATACAACTGCAAACTTCCTTAAATCACATATACGATTGATCCAAGACCAATGGTTTTATTTTTAACATGGAGAATACAGTTCTGGGTTGAAGGTGTGGTTTGCACCCTGATCCTGAAAATCACCTAAATGGGGTTAAAATCCCAATGGTCAATGAAACTAAGTTTTCTGGGTGTTCTGTTTGACAAAAAATTGAACAATTTGAACAGTAGATGTCCAAAGTCTTTAAACCTTTTAAAAATACTATGCTGGTCATCCTGGGGAGCAGACAAATGTTCTATACTCAGGATTTATAGGACCCTTGTCCACTCTAAGCTGGATTATGGATTCATTGTGTATGTTTTTGTGCGAGAATCTGCTCTTCAGAATCTGGATCCAATTCACCATCAAGCATTGCATTTACACATTGGTGCTTTTTGGATTTCTGTCCAAAGCCTGTGCGTGGATGTTTATGAGCCTCCACTTTTTCTTAGGAGAGAACAGTTGTCTCTTTTTTATTACATTAAACAGAAATCTCAGAATAAACTTTCAGCTGATTGTTCAGATACTCAGCTGAAAAGATTATTTGCAGCTCAGATGAGTAGTGTCCCTACATTCGACATAAGAATGGAGAATGTAAGCAGCACGATTGAACTGGACTCAAGCAACATTTCACAGCTCGAGGTTGACAGTATATCACCTTGGTCAACTCCTGTGATAAAACTAGACCTTAGCTTGAAGCATTTTCCTAAGAAATCCACTCCAGACTGTGTGTATAGACAGAACTTTGCAGAAATCCAACATAGTCACAGGAATTTAATTCCTATTTACACTGATGAATTCAAATTGGATAACTATGTGGGCTTAGTTTTCATCTGCCAGGACGAAATGGTGGCTGAACAAATACTACCAAATTCTTCCATCTTTACTGCAGAGCAGCAGGTTATTTAGTCTTAAAGTATATAAGTAGAAAGGTCATCGTTGCTGCATGATTTACATTGACTCAGTCAGTGCACGTCAGGCTTTGATCTTGTCTGAATCTATTTCTCACTCCATAGTGATTAAAATCCATAAACTGATTTGCCATCTGTTTGTGAGTAATTTCTCTGTAAAATTTTGTTGGGTCTCAGGCCATATAAGAGGGAATGAACAGTGTCAATGTCCTAAAAACGTCACCAGTATAATGGTGATATTTTTAGGCCAAATGGTAAACAATTCTACTGGAAATGACCAGAATTTGTTTCAAAGGCAGTTAATTCTTTGTCTTCAGAATGAAGAGGAACCTTCCAGTAGTGCTGATAGAATGTCACCAGTATAAATATCTTAGCACTTGTAAGTCTATCCAAAAGCTCAACTATTCTGGGAATAGGTTTATTGTTAATTTTAATCATCTCATTCAACTTTCTATAATTATACATAAGCTTGTTTTTTCCTCCTTTTCCTTTTTTTTCGCTGATGTGACTGAGGCAGCATATGACAAATCCCAATTTTAGCAATAGTTCTGTCTGTCAATCTCTTCTCTATCCCAGTAAGATGTTTTGTAAGGTTTGAGGGTGATTGGCCTTTTGTCTTTGAGAAATATTCTAGGAAGATTTATTTTGAGGGCTGGCAGTGACAATTTCTCAGGAGAAAAAAAATCCCTGAAATCCCAAAATTATGGCTTTTAGCTTCTGTTCATTGTTCAGATTATGGTTAACATTCCTAATGTTAAAGGAATCTCTGCTTGATATCTTTAAGGAAGTAGAGCTATCCCTACCCCTACAAGCTTTATTGCATTTTGAGCCAAAGGAGGTGGGAAGACAAGGTTAGGAACATGAGGAAGTCTCCCTCTGATCTCTTATATAAGCTATTGAGTATTACAAGAATGACTAATATCCCTGCTATAGTGGCTCTTTGAGGAATTGGACTGATTTAAATGTAATATTTCAAAGGTTATTACCTTTGAAAATATTACATTTGACTTTGTTTGACTTTGGAAGATCTGATTAATTCTAGGAAATTCGAGCTTGGCATAGATTCTAATGTCTGGTTAAGATAAAATTAAATAAGGGAAATACCTGGGTACTACATGTAACATCACATTTTTTATCAGGCTTCAGATTTTAAGGGGAATTAATACATTAGCCATGCTATTGGTAGATCCTGCAGCTGTAGTGATGATCTTCGTGTTCTATTGGTATTGACAGTATTTTGATAGAGTATCCACTAGTTGCTGAGAAATGAGGCTGATAGAGCTTCCTGTATTGATGAGTGTAGGCATTGTTTTGTACTCTATTGAAACAGTTAATAGTAGTCAGGATGGTAAAGTTGGCCCTGACTTGTTTGTTTCAGATTCTATGTGGACATCTCTGAGTGGAAGCTGGGGACATTCTTTTCTCCAACACTGGGCAGGTAATCCTTGTTGAAGGAAAAAACAGCAGGGCGATGGCAGTCCTCATGTGATGCACCAACTCTGTACTTTGGTTGACCATGAGGTAGAATCCAAGATGGCATTGTTCCCTTTGTGTGCAGCCATGACAGTACCTGGTTCTTGGTGAAGTACTGGGAATTTGTGTAACTTTCTCAATTTGGTTTAGCTGTCAGATGATTTTCTTTTTGGGTCCTTGAACAATGATCTGCTTTCCTTTGAATTTTTATTAATTTAGTAGCCTTCTGAAGCCATTCAACAGTGGTGACTGGTGGTGTGGCTACCATATATTTTCTGATTTCTGCATTCATACCAGCTCTGAGGCCCATAATGGTTTGATATAGGTTTAACTTAGCCTTTTCTGCCAAGGAGGTTTGTTTTTATAGCAAGTCAAAACATCTTTATTCCACTAGTGTCTTCAGTTTACAAACTTGATGAAGTAAGCTTCTTCCTCTGGTGGAAAGTACTCAAGCAATTTTTGTTTCATTTTGTCCCAATTTTTTTTCTCTACTAAATTCTCACAATAATAATCAAAAGCTTTGTGCTGTAAATATTCTGGTATATGAAAGTGGAACTCTTGCTCGTCAAACCTTTGTCTCGCCACTTGCGTTTTGAACAATCTCATCCACAAAGTTAGGCTTAGCTTCCTACATGGGTTTGAACAGTACAAGATTTAGTTTAGCAGGAGAGGTAGAACTACCTGTTTCTGGAGTCAATTTGTCTCTTGACGTGTTCATCATTGTAGAGAGTCGTCCTGTTGACTCTTACTTGTCATATTGTTTTGCAGTCATAGTCATGAGGTTGAGCATGGTGTCTGCAAAACAAAGATGGAGAAAAAGACCACAACACTTCTGTATGCCTTGAGGTCTGCATTCCCTCTTTTATTTTCTAATGTTGCCAACCTTGTTCCAAAAGGATTGAGATTACAAAATTAAATTACACAAAAATACAGTACAGTAGAGCATCGATTATCCGACCCTCGATCAACCATCATATCAGTTAATTGACTGTGTTCTAGTCGGCAAATTCAAATGTCTGCTGGTGATGCGGTGCTATAATATTTGGCTGTGTCTTGGCTCCTTTAATATTATTTTCGTTAAATTTTTGATGTTTTAGCTGGCAACACTGGCTCAACCATGAAAGGGATGCTAGTATTTAAATGAGGCTTAATTTTCTAATTATGAGTGGTTGTTTGTTTTGTAAGCGATAAAATAATTTTTAACGACACAATAGCGACGATTATTATTTTAAAAAGTTTTTGACATTAAAAACATCAATGAAAATTCAACGCGAAGTAGGTTAATAGCGATATACTAATATACTAATTACATGAGATATAATAATATACTAATATACTATACTAATAATGTATTTTTTCATATTTTTCAGTTATCCGTTTTTTCAGTTATCTGACCAACCCCAGTCGAGTCAGATAATCGATGCTCTACTGTATATACAGAATAAAAATTTAAATATGTTATATATATATAGCATCATTATAAAAATAAATAAATAAGATTCTAGTCACATGTCAGTGATATATCTGCTCAGTTCTGTGAAATGTCATTTACTTTCAGTGATAAAAATATCATTGTTTTGTATTTGATTGAAGTATTTGTGCATGTCCTGCACAGTGTTATTGTAGCCTTTCAGTATCTATATTGTGATTTTAAAATATTGTCAACAATGATATTGTTGTTTGAATGAATGAAGTTGCCTATTTGTATACATACTTACATAAAATATAGAAAATATTACATGTTCATTAAAAAATAAATATTAATATAAAAATGTTTGTAATGAATTTCTTATATATTATTATTTTATATTTTAACTTTTTTAAACTACCAAGTAACTTTTCGTAATTTCTAGAGAGAGTTTTTTTGTCACCAGACAATTTTGCTTGACAATCTTTGCTAATTCTGTGTCTTTGAACTTCAACATCTTGAATATACTGACAGGTTACAGATATCACTGATACATGCAAGTAGAACTTCAATGTACAAATTCAGTTTGTTAATGTGTAATAAGCATAACAGAAAATTTTTTTACATAAATTTAGTGTACTATCTCTGTTTTTCTTGGTGAGTCCAAAGAGCTATATATATTTCATAATAGATATAACCTGATTGGGAATTTTGTGCAACATTTTAGAAAGCAGTAAATTGATGGTGATACTGTTTTCATTCTGAGTCAGAGAGAATTCATCATTTGTCTAAAATCATAAAAGTTATATTTAATTTAAAGCTTTTATTATTTAACATGCCATAAAACTATAAGACAACCCTTCCAGGAGTGTTTGCTTTAATGTAATTATAAAGGTTTTTAAATGGCATGTGCATTTTAAGGTTGGTTGGGTGTCTGTTCAAAATGATGATTGTTCCAAGTGGCCAACCACCAGCAAAATAGAAAAAAATGTTAAAAAATTTACCAACTCGTCTATGTAGACTATCATTGAGCAATTTGTGAAAATTCAGCTCTGTGAAATTGTTGGAATGAGTTATGAGGTGTTCCAGGAGATTCTCATTCACAGTTTGAACATGCATTGCATTACTGTGAAGTTTGTACCTTGGATCCTGGCAGTTGTCAAGACACTGCTGTTTTTGCTTGTGTGTAAGGAACTTAATGACATAGATAATGAAAACCCAACTTTCCTATCAGGGATCATCACAGCTGATGAAATGTGGGTTTACTGCTATGATCCTGAGACAAATGAGAAGTTCTAATGGAGGAGCCTGCAGTCACCACAACCAAAGGAGGTGTGTCAGGTCAGGAGTGCAGCAAAGACTATGCTCATTGTTTCCTTTTCAACATTAAGGGCAACATTTATGGAGAATTTGTTCCTCCTGGTGTGGCAGTCAATTCTGATTTTTAATGTGATGATTTGAGGCACTTGAGAGACTGTGTGTGCCGAAAAAGACTGAAACTGTGGTGCTATTGCAATCAGATATTGCATCACGACAACACAGCCACTCGCATCTTGCTGAAAATGACAGTTTCTAGCTGGTAAGATGGTGGTTGTCTCGTACCGTCCATACTTACCTGACTTTGTCTTGTTCCCCAAAATCAAGTTGAGGTAAAAGAGAGACTATTGACCTTCATGACTTCTGCAGTATCTTTGAGTCATGGAAGACATGCTGGGATTGCTGTATACTTTGAAGGAGATGGCATTCAGATTTGAATAAGATGAACTGTAACTTCTTATAGGCCTACTGTAATTTGGGAACTTTCTGATATTACCTCTGTGTGTGCGTGTGTATGAATTTTAAAACTTTTTGAAAAATGCAGAAAAAATTCTTTAAGAACATTTTTGTTTATAACTTGGTTTTTACTTTTTACCTTCTGTTATGTATACATAACAAGAGAAAGTATTGAATTGTATCAAATTTGACCCTCAGAGTTTTTTTTCACATCTCTGTTTTGAGATATCTTAAACAAGTCAAAAATCAGGAAAAATATTCTATAAATATGTATTGTGTGTGTGTGTTGGCATCTGTTTCATTTAATATCTCAGGATGTAAAGATTAAGAAACAAAATGTGGCAATTGTTATAAGAAATAATATATAAAATTTTTGATGATGTATTATAATTTGAAAAACTTTAAATATGTCAGGTTTTAATTTTTTGCATAATAATTTTTTATAAAATAGGTTTATGTTCTTAAGAGGCCTTTTGTAGATGAATTTTTACAAAGGATGGGTGAATTATACGAGTGTGTACTTTTTACTGCTAGCCTTGCAAAAGTAAGTTAAGAAATTGTATTTGTATAATTATTATTACATAATAAATTTTACATGATGATCTTCTGTTTTAATTTTATTTTTTGTAATTTTATAAACAGCATTTTCTTTACTCAACATATCTGATGGTTAAAATTGATTTTCTCGATATTATAGTATGCAGATCCAGTTGCTGATTTGCTGGATAAATGGGGAGTATTTCGTGCTCGGCTTTTTAGAGAATCATGTGTCTTCTACAGGGGTAATTATGTAAAGGTAAACTTTTATTTATTTCATTTTAAATATTTAATATATTTTTAATTTATAATAAAAATCAAATTTATAAAAGTATAAAAACTTGTTTTCATTCCTAAAGATAAAGGAAAATACAGTGGTACCTCAGGATACGAAATTAATTCGTTCTGAAACTGAGATCATATCATGAAAATGTTGTAAGGTGAATAATTTTTCCCCATACAATTACATGTAAAACCAAATAATTCATTCCACCACGAAAAACACACTCAAATTAAAGCTAAGTAGTACATTAAAAAAAACTATAGTAAGGAAAACACTGAAAAATGCGTTTTGTAGTTGTAAATGTATAAATAACCATAATAGAATAATAATTGATTTAAAAAAATGTAGTTTTATTTGCACTTTACACCTCCACTGTTGTCTATCCTCAAAGGTAAACAGGTGGCGGAAGAGAGGGAGAAGGGAAATGATACTAAAACTTAACTTACATAAGATAATGTAACAATAACTTAAAAATAACTTAGAAAAGATTTTAAAAAATTAGCGTTTTTTTATATTTTTATTCGCTGCTTTTTGCTTTCTTTCCTTCACTTCCACCAGCACTTTCACTGGATAGAGGTCGCTTGATAAAATGTCTATCCAAAGAGAAACGTTTTAAAAAGTTGGCTTTGCCTACTTTTTAAAATGTTTCTAAAATGACTTAGGCAAATGTCATTACTCCAAGCAGCAATGCGACCAGTGTGAACCTTTTTGGGATGTTTCTTTTCAATAAAATCAGTCACTTTCTGATAATACCTCAAGATTTCCTTTATCGAGCGAGATCCTTCCACAACGAAGCAAACACGCAGACTGAGACCAATGAACAGAAGTGAATAAAAAATAGCACTGCGAACTAATGTAATGTCATATGGTGAGTTTTTATTTGTATTGTGGAGCAAAAATATGTTCGAATTTCATGTCGTGTCCTGAAAATTTCATATGCTGGGGCATCCATATCCTGAGGTACCATTGTATACAATATTTTGCTGAATTGCTTCATTGAGTTGGTGTAGTTGTTGAATGTAGAACTCTTCATTGAGTGTTTGGTTGTGCTCAAGCAATTTGTGATGAATCATGCCTTTCCAATCCATTATAGACACTGCATGTGTTTTGAGGATGATGATTTTTGAAATTGTTTTTCTCATGGAGTTGCTTGTTTGTCAGGGCTGAACCATTTTTTTTTTTTTTTTTTTTTTTTTTTTTTTTACTGCTTCATATTGACATAAACACACCATTTTTCATTGCCGGTGACAATGCGGTAAAGAAAACACTGTGATCATGTATTGAACGATGTCAAGCGAGCGAACTGGCGGCAATTGTTGAGTATTGATTTTTGTTGTTTTCACTCGGAATGTGGCACTCAAGCCCCAAGTTTCTGAACCTTACCCATTAGTGAAAGTGGTTCACCACAGGTTTTTGATCACAATCCATCTGTCTTGCCAATTCTCTGATCATTTGATATGGATTTTCATGGAGAAGTTGATTTAATTGCTCTTCATCCAGCACAATTGGTTGACCTATGTGTGATCGTCCAAGGTCAACATTTCCATTTTTGAAACATGAAAATCAATGGCGGGTGTTACTTTGAGGCATTGCTCCTCCATACACAGCATAAATCTCATGAGTAGCTTCAGTAGCCATAACATCTTGATTAAATGCAAAAAGCAAAGGTGTCAAAAATGCTCGGTTTTGTCCAATTGACATTCCATTTTAATGAACTGAAAATACACAAAAATCAATAAAATTAAAAAATCAAAACATACTGTCTTGTAGAGCAAGAAATTCTCTTTCAAATAACATAATATAAAATGCATTTGCAAAATGTTTTATTTCTGTGTGCATTTTTAAATTTGAAAAAAATGCTCATGAATTCCTCAACCCAATATATTTCATATCCATCCATTCATTAATTTTATAAAAAATAAATGTGGTATCATTATTCAACATCATGGTTTTCTTTAAAGAGTTGGACACATTAGTGATTTTTTACTATATATACTATTTTATAAATAAAATAAACCTTTAACTATCTAGCAATAAAAATATACTATTTTAGGGGTATACAATTTATGGTACATAAATGAGGTGGTCATCTAAATGGGATTAATATATATATATATAGAACTATAGTTTGAGTACTGTACTGAATTCTGCTAAAGGTTTAATACAGGTTATAAAAGTAAGCAAAATAATAAATAAATAAATTCACATAATACTGCACATAATTTGCAATGTACAGAAATTCAAAATTTCATACAGGTTAATGTATTAACTTTGAATAATAGAATATTGAAATACAAAGTACATTTACAGTGAATGCAAGCAAGTTGAAATAGGATTTGTTCAAGTACTGTACAGTAAAGCAGTCTATTAAACAGAATTGTTTAGTATCCACAGACAGAATCAATATATTTAAGAAATGATAGTAAAGATTTTATTTAAATACTGTATTTTAACAGGAAAATTCAGAAAAATTATTAAACAGAAGTTACTAGATATGCAGAAATATCCTCCAAATGTCAGAAAAATTTTTAACAATTAATGTTAATAATTAAACCAGCTTTTACATCGGGATGATCAATATTTTTCCTTGTTCGGTGTTGCAAATGATGTATCAATAAAGTAGACTGATCATTTACTGTTTTACATAGTTATATTTTGTATAAAAATATGGAAAAAATATAGAATTGTTTTTCTTCTTACTAAATTCTAGAGAAATTTAATTTGTCTAATGTAAGTGAAGATTTATTTAATTTGAACATCATCTGTTAGAGGGAGCTTAGCAAACTGTTCCAAAACTATAGCAACAAAGCCCTTTAAAGTGCTTTAAACAATATGTTAAGAGTAGGATTAGTAGGTTTTTTGTTCTGTTGGTCATTTAAACAGGGATAAACGTCATTTCAGGACATTCCTAGCTTTTCCAATTAAGTGAGGTGGCCACCACCAATATGGAGTTTGATTTGTATTAAAACTTTTTCAGGATTGGAACATAAGCAAGGTGGCTGCAAAGTGAAGTTTTACTGTATTTTAAAGTAGTCTTTTAGCATTCACTTTTTCAAAAAACTGGTGGTATGGAAAGAAAATGTGCGTAAATATACCCAAAACCAGTAAAAGAAATGAAAACATTTAAATCAGTAAATGTTTTTATCTGTTTCTAACAAACATCATCAGATATGTTATAATGTATTCTATTGCTTATTATTGTTATGTTCAGTATTCATGATGATATACTTGATGATTTATCAGTAAATATTTTTATACATACAAATATATCCAAAACCAGTAAAAAGAATAATCTTATAGCAGTAACATAGGCATAGACTCTATTGCTTATATAGTCAACTTGCACTAATAAGGATTGCTAGGGGAATGGCTGTTAATACAGATTTTTGATAAAGCATACTAACAGGTCAGGGTTGTATAATTACAGGAATTAAGGCCTTCAATAGGTGATCAAAACCACTAAATTATAATATTTTAAATTAACTTAAATAAAATTAAATTTAGAACATTTAAATTGTTTTTGTAATAAAGTGATTTTCAAGTGAAATAAAATGAGAAGTAACCAAATCTGGCAATATTGTATTAACTTTCTGATATGCAAACTAACATTTGTTTGCATGGGACCATATTCATTTAAAGATGTGTGTGTGTGTGCTTAAATTTTAAGCCCTATTTTCTGAGTAGACAGTAGAATGGTCTGCTAAAACCAGATGTTTGAATTGCTCTATACAATCTGGATCAAACTCTAGAATATCTATTCTACTTAAAATGGAACATTTCTTACAGTACTACTTTTTATTATTCATTTATTTCAAAAAGTGAAAAAAGCGACCATTATCAGAAATAGGCTTATTTTTGTGGGTTGTGAAGGTAATTTACAATTGCGTTTAACAAATTCTGGCAAAATTTTTGTTTGCTTTATCACATAAAATTTAACATTGTGGTAATGGCATTTTGCCAGGGCAGTGGCAAAACTTGCTTTATTTGTTTAAGGCTACTGTATTAAAACAATCTTTTTATTTGTATCTGAAGCTACAGTGATTAAAAAATTTATAACAACTCCTTCCAAAGTAAATATTTAGAGGTTTTCCAGAACAATAGTGCACAGTATTTTTTTATCATCATCATAATTAGAATGAAATCAAAAATAATAGTTTATATAGTGCATATTATATAATTTTATGTAACTACACTATACAATATATTTTATACATAATGTCAATTAAAAACATATGAAAATTCCAAAATGTTATATATTAAAAATATGCATAGGCTAAATATTTTTTAAAACTATTTTGTGTAAAATATTAGTTATGAATTTGATGCTGCTATTGATATTGCTATTTATTGCATTATTCAGTTTTATGATTTATCATTTAGTGTTATGAAAACCCATAAATTTTTCAAATTTTTTGTAATACTAATTTTTTAGTAAATTACAAATTTTATTAAATGATTTTATTTGAATAATATCAAGAAATTCCATTCATACAGGGTGGTTATAATTAAAGTTGACCTACTTAGACACGTATAGAGCCCGTTCGACATATTTTGATGAAACTTGGCATATACATTATATGGATCATGGGGGGAGGAAAATACAAAAAAATGATTAGTTTAAATTTTTACCACTAGCTGAGAAAATGGCGCATGAAGAACAAGAAATACAAAATGGAAACATGCAAAAAGTTTTTATTCATGACATTTGTTCAATGTGCAATCCATTTGCTTCAATCATGTGTTCAAAATGCCTTACAGTGTGTTCAACAGTAGCCCGATAGGTTTCTTGAGAAATTGCAGCAACAGGTCATGTTATGCTTGTTTTCAATTTAGGCAGTCTGTATGCTTCCTCTATAGACACAATCTTTCAGATATCCCAACAACCAAAAGTCACAGGGATTCAAGTCTGGAGAATGAGGAGGCCAGGCATTTGGAAAACTCAAAAATTACCGGATTGTCTCCAAATATTTTATGCAACAGTCCATTCACTTGTCAGGTAGTATGTTCTGGATCTTGAGGGTGCAGCTTCTTGCATTAAGGTTGCCCCATCTTGCATTAAGACAGTAGTCTCTAAACATCCTTATTCTTGTAAAGCAGGAATGACATGATGCAGCAGAAGTTTGCAGTAACTATCACCTGTCACAGAACACCTTTTAGGGCATTGCGGTGTGATCTCCTCAAAGAAAAAGGGGCCAAGAATGAAGTCAAAAGTGAAACCACACCAAACGGTCATGTAAGCAGAGTGCAGAGGCTGTTCATGCACAACATCAGGTCTTACAGTACCCAATATGAGACAGCTCTGAGTATTCACTGCTCTGTCTAGGGTGAAATGAGCCCCATCTGACTGCAAAATGTTCCATGGCCATGCATTGTCAATGGCTATTCTGGCCTGAAACCGGTAAGCAAACTCTGTTCATTGTTCTGGATCTTGAGGGTGCAGCTTTTGCAACATGTGGATCTTGTACAAATACCACTGTAAAATGGATCGCATAATTTTTCGAACCATAGACCCAAGGAAGAGACGAATCACATGACACCGCTTGAACACTCGCTGAAGAATGTTAGAAAGTGTTTGCTCTGTCAATCACAGCAATGGCAACTTGCTCCATTTTCTGAACCTTTTCCTGGAAAAGAATGTTGGAAAGTGTTTGCTCTAAAGTCATTTTATGGTCTTCCTTTGAGCACAGTTTACTTTACTTGGAGATGGGCCAGTTTGGTAGGAGTGTCCGTAGAATCTTCCAGCTTGATGCTGGTTTCAACAATTGGATGGCTGCTGTCTGAATCTAGATGTAATTATGTACGCAATACCTTCCAAGGGAATTCTAGCTGTCTTCCAACTCAGTCCAGAGACCTCAAAAAATTGTCCAGCAACCTTTGCCCCTTCGCTTTTAAGAGGATTGTCTGGTCCAATCCAGAGCAGGGTCAGTAATTCACATTCAGGTCTGCCTCAGACGAAATCCTCGTGTGATACATCCTACTATGCTAACCCCCTCCAGAAAAACCAAACTGTCCAAGCAAGACAAAATTGTTTTGTCTCTGCCAATCGTTACGCCTACATGACATTAGTGTACGTAGTGCCTATGTATTTTCAGAAGATTACTAAAATATATCAAAAATTGCTAAATTCCTTTTCTGCTACTGTCCCAATTAAGCAATTAAATTATGTATTAATTTATTAGTTTGATTTCCATTCTTTGAGATTTGGCCCAATAAAGCGGCTGCCTAGATTAACCGGTGTCCCAATTAAGCGGAATCCACTGTATTTGATAAAATAATTTTTCATAGTATGTTTTTTGTTAGACTAAAAATGAAGACTTCGTTCTTATTTGATTTATAACTTTTTTAAGTTTTAGGTATTGTACATTGATCAGAAATAATTTTCAAGAGAAATAAGTAATATATTTAGGAAACCAGTATTTTATAATTATAGATTATAATCAAAGTGTACAAAACTTGGCACTGTTTTGTACAAGTAGCAAAAAATATTTAAAGAACATTTTTTGGCTCCATTTGAGCTATCTTAAATTTACAAATTAAAAATAATTTTAAACTCCTGCATTTGAACGTTATATTCCATTGAACAACGATTAAAATTGATGTTCAATTTGTAAACTGAAGATGGTTGAAATGGAGATGAAAATATTCTTTAAATAAATATTTTTTGGTATTCATACAAAACAGTGTGATTATTTTAATACGGATATTTTAAAAATATTATATCTAAAATAAAAGGTAATTATCAAACAGTTAAAATTAATCCAGTTTGCTATTTTTTTAGAATTGAAGCATGCAATGCCATAATATCGTAAATACTAAAAAGGAAACTTTACAGAAAAGGTAAAAAAAACTTTTTCTAGCAAATGAATTTATTTCAATTTTACAATAAAATGGTAAAAGTTCACTAAGTTACAAATTCTCTGGAATATCAAAATGATATAAATATAGTCTGTAATGTTTTAAGCACCAAAAGTCACGAGTTGCACGCTGGTACTTTAAATGTTATGGCTTCACATAAATTCAACTTCAAAATATGGACACTTACGACACCACTATCGCCACGATATTTTATTTTTTTCACCAGAAAATGTTGTGTTTAGAATTCAGTTCTTTAATAAAATGTATTTAGAGGAAAATGGCATTTATAGCATTAAGGCCTTGCATGCTTCAATTATAGAAATTGGATTTCTTTCTTTTTCTAAATATTTTTTTACATTATTTTTTCAGCACTGTTTTAATAATAAATTTTACAATATTATTTTTTAAGGATTTAGGAAGACTAGGGAGAGATTTACAAAGGGTTGTGATAATGGATAATTCTCCTGCATCCTATATCTTCCACCCAGATAATGCTGTAAGTTTTATTTCTTTATTTGTAAGGTTTTTGTTTATTACTATAAATTATCATCAAAATATCTGTTTTCTTTTTAGTAGTATTTCAGGAACATTGAATTTAACTAAATTAAATAATTATAATACACTGGTATAGTACATCAGTACTCGTATTGTTCTTAATGTGAACAATTTTGTATTCAAATGCAGGTTTTGGCTGTTCGTTTGGCACTTAGCCAAACAAACACAATCTACTTGAACAAACTTTCGATTTGATAACAAATAATTTTATTTTAACTTCAGTTTTGTCATCCATACAATTTTTCTATGATAAAAATGAGTAACAAGTAAAACAGCAAGGCCATTTTTGGAACGAGACTGTGTCTCAGAGACTCACTACTAAGTGAGATCACTTTGACACTCATGGTGGGTCTTTTTTCTCATTCTCCAATCTTCTTTGGTATCACTAGTTTTGAGTGTGATTGTTCAAATGTCACCGGCCATGACCATGACCACGAGGTTGTCCATGAGGCATTTTCGGTGAAATTAACCTATCCAATGTCAAAATTTTTCCTTCACACCTCCATGTCCGGCCATTATGGCACTGCAATTTATATCATAAACAAGACATAGCCTTGTCAAAAATAAAATGAAACCCTAGAATTACCTATTTTCATCAAAGTCAATGAAGCATTTCAACAATGCATGTCAGTAACACATTGAGGAGTTATTTGCCAATTTTAACAATTTCATCTTGAAATTTTTTTTGTGGGTGGCTTTTGAGTGCTCTATATGTTATGTATCATTTAGTTCAAAATTTTCAGAATGAAGCTTTAAAACCACATTTGACATGCTCAAAGTTTACATGCATCTTCCCCATACATATCACAAATCTTTTTTACTGTTCATACAGTGAAACTCAAAAAGAATATGTTGGATATGCATTTTATCTGCAGATATTTCAAGTTGATTTTACTCAAAGTGCATAGTAAAATGTTCAAAGTAAGCTTCTAAGCAAATAATACAACCTTGTAGTAGCAATAACATGTTACATTTGTGTTTTAATAGCTGTGAAATTTATGATTTAATTAAAAGTAATGACAGTTGTTAAATATGCAAAAGCTTAATTTAATAAAATTAATAGGCTTATTTTGCCCTCTGTATTTTGTACAGGTATTCCCAACTGAAACAAAGGAAATATGTTGCTCTTCCCAAAGTTATTGCTCAGTGTAGAATTCTGTTAAACTTTGCAAAGAAATGAGAAAGTTTACTGCATTTTTTTTATGATGCATGTATGATAGGCTTATAAAAGTGACCAGAATTTAACACAAATTTAACAAGACATTTATAAGTGTATTTTTGAGGCTCTGGAATAGATTCATGTAATCAGAATATTCTAAATATTAAATTTAATAAGAGATGGCACCTAATGCTTACCTCTAGTATGAAATTGCTTAATAGTTAATCATTAATAATAGCACTTAATTAGGTCAATCATTTGGATTTGTGTAATTTACATCATTCCGGGAAAAATTCATTCAGTGTCCATTCAAGAAGGCTGTTTGAGACCCAATTAAATTAGAGTTTATTGTATACAGTGGTATCTCGGTATAGTTTTAGTATTATACTTATTACAATAGTACAACAATAATTAGTTACTTTAAAAAATAATTAATTTAATAACTAATTATTAGTGATATCAACAACTTAATACTGATGATTACAATTTGGATTTTTTTTCATTAATAAAAAAAATTGAGAGATTGATTGAAATTTGAGGATTGAGAGAGAGGATTTTTGTTTTTACTTGATTGCTTGTTGTTCTCTCTTTTGGTTGTATGTTCTTTGGAATTAAGCATAAAATTGCTATGGAGAACTTATCATACAGGAAAAATTTTTTTGATGGAAAAGGTTGATTTTATTTTCTATTTTTTATGAAAGGAAATGCATTTCAGGCCAATACCATTCAGTCCTTATTGTAAAAGTAAAAGTATATAAGAAATTACAGAATACATTTAATAGTTATTTCTATTTTACATATGCATACAACTCATAAAAAATACAATTAATGGTGACTACTGGAGTAACTAAGTGTAAAACCGGTAAAACCAAAATAAATTAAAAAATAATAATAAATAAATGACTAAATACTGATGNTATAAAAATAAATAAATAAGATTCTAGTCACATGTCAGTGATATATCTGCTCAGTTCTGTGAAATGTCATTTACTTTCAGTGATAAAAATATCATTGTTTTGTATTTGATTGAAGTATTTGTGCATGTCCTGCACAGTGTTATTGTAGCCTTTCAGTATCTATATTGTGATTTTAAAATATTGTCAACAATGATATTGTTGTTTGAATGAATGAAGTTGCCTATTTGTATACATACTTACATAAAATATAGAAAATATTACATGTTCATTAAAAAATAAATATTAATATAAAAATGTTTGTAATGAATTTCTTATATATTATTATTTTATATTTTAACTTTTTTAAACTACCAAGTAACTTTTAGTAATTTCTAGAGAGAGTTTTTTTGTCACCAGACAATTTTGCTTGACAATCTTTGCTAATTCTGTGTCTTTGAACTTCAACATCTTGAATATACTGACAGGTTACAGATATCACTGATACATGCAAGTAGAACTTCAATGTACAAATTCAGTTTGTTAATGTGTAATAAGCATAACAGAAAATTTTTTTACATAAATTTAGTGTACTATCTCTGTTTTTCTTGGTGAGTCCAAAGAGCTATATATATTTCATAATAGATATAACCTGATTGGGAATTTTGTGCAACATTTTAGAAAGCAGTAAATTGATGGTGATACTGTTTTCATTCTGAGTCAGAGAGAATTCATCATTTGTCTAAAATCATAAAAGTTATATTTAATTTAAAGCTTTTATTATTTAACATGCCATAAAACTATAAGACAACCCTTCCAGGAGTGTTTGCTTTAATGTAATTATAAAGGTTTTTAAATGGCATGTGCATTTTAAGGTTGGTTGGGTGTCTGTTCAAAATGATGATTGTTCCAAGTGGCCAACCACCAGCAAAATAGAAAAAAATGTTAAAAAATTTACCAACTCGTCTATGTAGACTATCATTGAGCAATTTGTGAAAATTCAGCTCTGTGAAATTGTTGGAATGAGTTATGAGGTGTTCCAGGAGATTCTCATTCACAGTTTGAACATGCATTGCATTACTGTGAAGTTTGTACCTTGGATCCTGGCAGTTGTCAAGACACTGCTGTTTTTGCTTGTGTGTAAGGAACTTAATGACATAGATAATGAAAACCCAACTTTCCTATCAGGGATCATCACAGCTGATGAAATGTGGGTTTACTGCTATGATCCTGAGACAAATGAGAAGTTCTAATGGAGGAGCCTGCAGTCACCACAACCAAAGGAGGTGTGTCAGGTCAGGAGTGCAGCAAAGACTATGCTCATTGTTTCCTTTTCAACATTAAGGGCAACATTTATGGAGAATTTGTTCCTCCTGGTGTGGCAGTCAATTCTGATTTTTAATGTGATGATTTGAGGCACTTGAGAGACTGTGTGTGCCGAAAAAGACTGAAACTGTGGTGCTATTGCAATCAGATATTGCATCACGACAACACAGCCACTCGCATCTTGCTGAAAATGACAGTTTCTAGCTGGTAAGATGGTGGTTGTCTCGTACCGTCCATACTTACCTGACTTTGTCTTGTTCCCCAAAATCAAGTTGAGGTAAAAGAGAGACTATTGACCTTCATGACTTCTGCAGTATCTTTGAGTCATGGAAGACATGCTGGGATTGCTGTATACTTTGAAGGAGATGGCATTCAGATTTGAATAAGATGAACTGTAACTTCTTATAGGCCTACTGTAATTTGGGAACTTTCTGATATTACCTCTGTGTGTGCGTGTGTATGAATTTTAAAACTTTTTGAAAAATGCAGAAAAAATTCTTTAAGGAGATTTTTGTTTATAACTTGGTTTTTACTTTTTACCTTCTGTTATGTATACATAACAAGAGAAAGTATTGAATTGTATCAAATTTGACCCTCAGAGTTTTTTTTCACATCTCTGTTTTGAGATATCTTAAACAAGTCAAAAATCAGGAAAAATATTCTATAAATATGTATTGTGTGTGTGTGTTGGCATCTGTTTCATTTAATATCTCAGGATGTAAAGATTAAGAAACAAAATGTGGCAATTGTTATAAGAAATAATATATAAAATTTTTGATGATGTATTATAATTTGAAAAACTTTAAATATGTCAGGTTTTAATTTTTTGCATAATAATTTTTTATAAAATAGGTTTATGTTCTTAAGAGGCCTTTTGTAGATGAATTTTTACAAAGGATGGGTGAATTATACGAGTGTGTACTTTTTACTGCTAGCCTTGCAAAAGTAAGTTAAGAAATTGTATTTGTATAATTATTATTACATAATAAATTTTACATGATGATCTTCTGTTTTAATTTTATTTTTTGTAATTTTATAAACAGCATTTTCTTTACTCAACATATCTGATGGTTAAAATTGATTTTCTCGATATTATAGTATGCAGATCCAGTTGCTGATTTGCTGGATAAATGGGGAGTATTTCGTGCTCGGCTTTTTAGAGAATCATGTGTCTTCTACAGGGGTAATTATGTAAAGGTAAACTTTTATTTATTTCATTTTAAATATTTAATATATTTTTAATTTATTATAAAAATCAAATTTATAAAAGTATAAAAACTTGTTTTCATTCCTAAAGATAAAGGAAAATACAGTGGTACCTCAGGATACAAAATTAATTCGTTCTGAAACTGAGATCATATCATGAAAATGTTGTAAGGTGAATAATTTTTCCCCATACAATTACATGTAAAACCAAATAATTCATTCCACCACGAAAAACACACTCAAATTAAAGCTAAGTAGTACATTAAAAAAAACTATAGTAAGGAAAACACTGAAAAATGCGTTTTGTAGTTGTAAATGTATAAATAACCATAATAGAATAATAATTGATTTAAAAAAATGTAGTTTTATTTGCACTTTACACCTCCACTGTTGTCTATCCTCAAAGGTAAACAGGTGGCGGAAGAGAGGGAGAAGGGAAATGATACTAAAACTTAACTTACATAAGATAATGTAACAATAACTTAAAAATAACTTAGAAAAGATTTTAAAAAATTAGCGTTTTTTTATATTTTTATTCGCTGCTTTTTGCTTTCTTTCCTTCACTTCCACCAGCACTTTCACTGGATAGAGGTCGCTTGATAAAATGTCTATCCAAAGAGAAACGTTTTAAAAAGTTGGCTTTGCCTACTTTTTAAAATGTTTCTAAAATGACTTAGGCAAATGTCATTACTCCAAGCAGCAATGCGACCAGTGTGAACCTTTTTGGGATGTTTCTTTTCAATAAAATCAGTCACTTTCTGATAATACCTCAAGATTTCCTTTATCGAGCGAGATCCTTCCACAACGAAGCAAACACGCAGACTGAGACCAATGAACAGAAGTGAATAAAAAATAGCACTGCGAACTAATGTAATGTCATATGGTGAGTTTTTATTTGTATTGTGGAGCAAAAATATGTTCGAATTTCATGTCGTGTCCTGAAA